ATCAAAACAAAAAACCCAAACACTTACCCTCAATCTCCCCTTCAACTTCCTCCCCACCCCCAAACAGGGGAAGGAGAAAGAATGAAAAAGAGTAAGAATTGCTGCCCGTCCTGATGTGTACAGCTTCACCATCTCCCTGAAGCAGAGTTTGGTATGTGATGTTAAGCACCTTGTGAACTAAATGTTAAGACTGATTCTGAGTGACAGGAACCCATCCCTTCTTTCCAAAAGGGCAAAACCAGCTTTCACAGCAGACATTGTGATTTCCCTGCAGAAACTGCAAAACTGTGTCTGTCCTGTAGTTAGATACATGTAACACCCAGTAGGAAGGAATGGCCCAGGACTCCCTTGGTGCCTCAGGGAATTACCCTGATACAAATGAAAGAGGGTACTTTTGCCACGGGGTTCTTACAAAGGCCCACAAAAGCGACTGCAGTAGCAATGGTGGGATGGTGTAGCTCAGACAAGTCTTTTGCACATATTCAGTTTATGATTTTTATATGTTGTCAACTTACGATGATAAGTATATTATGGTTTTCTGACTAAAAATTTCAAACTGAAAAATAAAGGAACCACAAGGCTGTATTTATCAGATTTCTTGCATCAAAATCAAAGCATTTGGCCTAACTTATTCTAAATCATCAACTTACAAGAAAGCATCTGTTTACCAGCTGGCTCAGTAGCTGCCCAAGCTAATCAGAATGACCTCAGCTGGAACAGCCTGACCTCCATCAAGTTGAAGAGTCAATTCCTCCTGTGCATACAGATTCTGCAGTAGTTTTGAACTACATCCTAGAAACCCATCTTCTGCCTTCTGCACTGTATTATTTCCATATATTACGTATATGTCTCAAACGTACCTTTTTATGCACAATAAAATTGGCCAATTTTCTTGTTGGGAAAGTCATGTTTCTATAACATGCTCCTCTGTGGAGGGTAAAACAATATCCTTCATTTACTATTGCCAGAGTATATAGATATTTCAATTATAGCAATAAACATGATACTAGTGGCAAGGGAAAGAGAAGCTTGCACAGCATCTGCCTTGGGATTTGTAACAGTTGTGTTTTGTTCTAACTGCTTTTCGAGTAGCAGGGGAGGTTTGCATTCCAGGTGCGGGTTATTTCCTCCTTGACAGAGAAATGAATGGAAATTAGAACAGGACAATGTCCACCTTTGTGCTAATATATAAATCCTTACTTTCTTTTACAGCGATAATAAATGGGGAAGTATTGACTGGTAAATTTAGAGTTTTAAGTATGTCTAAAACTCTGCCTTCAGCTCTTATTCAGGTGCCTTCTTCATGGTGGCTGCTTCCAAGACACTAATCCAATTACTCACAGTTGTGAAAACTTTCAGTCCTAAAGACATGCTAGCACAGGCCCTTTTATCCCAAAAACTGCCCAAATATTTTACTAGGTTCTGGGGGCTGATCCAGTTACGAGTAACCTCATAACTCCCTTCTCTCCCCCCACTGCCCATGTGATTGGAAGTTTTGCAATGGTAAATGACTTCAAAAGTCAGTTTCCCTTCATACACGTGGAGAATACATGATGTTAAAAAGTTGCAGATTTACTTTCCAGTTCCTTTAGACACTTCTCTCAGTGGAAAAAAAAAAATTGAAAAAGTGATTGCAAAAAAAGCTTCAAATCAGAATTACAGTATTTCCGACCCATTTTAGAAGGCAACTGTTATTTTACAAGGTGTAAAACAGAGAAGGGGCCCACAAAGTGCTCATTTCAGCAACCACCATGATGTAGGAATGGCTGCAGTATGTCAGACTGTCATATGTAGACCACTTGTGTTTGGTTTGGAAGGCAGTATTTTGATTTTGGGTTTTGTTGCTTTTGGTTTTTACATGGAAGAGTTGGAGGGAGGGAGGGAGGGAGGGAATGAGAGGAAAGGAGAAAAGGAGGAAGAGCATGAAAGGAAGAGAAGGGAAGGAAGAAAGAAAGGGGAAGGGAGGGCAGGAGAGGTAAGCATAGAGAGATGGATGGAGAGAAGGAATGGCAAGGCAAATCAGGTTTCAAGGAATATTGCTTGTTTCAAACAATGCCTACTTTTATTAACTGGAAACACACTACACCAGTTAAAAGGATCATGCAATAGGAGATTCTAATAAGATAAGTAACTCAAAATGTAGAAAATAAAAACCAGAAGAAAGTTAGTATTAAAACCTTCGTTGGCTTTAGCTGGACATGACTTGATCTCTCTTACATTTGTTCTTTCAGCTAATCCTGTCTCCCCAAAGATTCCATAGGCTTCGCTGGATAGAGGTTCAGCCACTCAATGACTTAGTACTGAATCCTGCAGTATGTTGTCATGGTTAGAAAATCTCCACTAGCAGAAAATGCCTCTAAACAAGGGCAACTCCTTTTTTATTTATTGTTTGAATCTAATCACACAGTTTCCTGCTTTGCACATCTGGTCCTAGATAGTCAGATCTGGAAACGATAGCTTTTTACATTGTTAACCCCACCCTGTAAGTGTTAGTAAGGACTTGATCCAAATCCCAGTTGGATTCTTTTCTACTGACTGCAGCGGAACTGGATCAAGCCCTCATTGAATTGCTGCTTCTAGTGAACTGGTAATTAAGAAGAAAAGATTTGAAGAAAAAAATCTGTGTTTTCTTGTGCTTGTAAGATTTCTTGTAAGAAATCAGCATTCTTTATTTGAGGCGCTTTTGTGTCACAGAAATCTTCATTCATCCCTCGGTATTTATTAACTTATCTCAGTGTATTGAGGTTCTCAATTGCTGTTAAAATATGATTAATTTAGGATAAAAACAACAGACTTGATGCTTTTATTATGTGTCATTCCATGTTTAAATTTTTTGTTTCATGTACAGATTTAACTTATCAATGAATTCCCCTTTAAAATACTCCCAAGCATCATCACAGTGAAGTAATAGGAGTTTCTTGAAGGGAATAAAATAAAAATCATGTTTCTTGATGCTTCCAGTTGTATGACATGACTGTAAAAATGCATTAATAGTTTAGGATACATTTAGATTGAAACCCTAGTCAGTTATCTTCACTTAAAAGAAGAGTGAGATCTGAAGGCAGTGTCACATTTTCAATTTTTTCCTTTATCATAGAATCACAGAATAGTTAGGGTTGGAAAGGACCTTAAGATCATCTAGTTCCAACCCCCCTGCCATGGCCAGGGACGCCTCACAATAAACCATCTCACCCAAAGCTCTGTCCAATCCAGCCTTGAACACCGCCTTGAACACAGCCCCAACTTTCTCAGCCTATCTTCATACAGGAGGTGCTCCAGTCCCCTGATCATCCTCGTGGCCCTCCTCTGGACTTATTCCAACAGTTCCATGTCCTTTTTATGTAGAGGACACCAGAACTGCACACAATACTCCAAGTGAGGTCTCCCGAGAGCAGAGTAGAGGGGCAGGATCACCTCCTTCGACCTGCTGGTCACGCTTCTGATGCAGCCCAGGATACAGTTGGCTTCCTGGGCTGCGAGTGCAGAAATAACACAGAATGTTTGAGTCCAAAATCAGTTCTGGGAAAGACAGACTTCTTTTCTTAGCTGAATTACTGAGGCGCTCTACATAACTCAGGAGCCTTAAGAACTGGTTTAACACTGCTCTACTGCTGTGGAGTACGTAAGTACTAAAGGATACTTGCCACAGTTCTGTAACCACATGGAAGTATTCCATCATTTTCTGATACATACAGACCTTGCGAGGACTGTTAACACCAGGCTTGCAGAACTGTTTGAAGTAGTCCACTGGTAGGGTTTGTATCTGTAGGAAGCCTGAACATCAATGTAGGTCACAAGACTGGGCACTTTGAGACACAAAGCTGGCGCATCGTAACAGCTTTTTTACAAGTAAGAAGAAATCTGCTTTTAGGAACAAGCAGAGCAGTATGAGAAATATCCAACTGTGGACAGGGACTCAAGTTTGTTGGCTTTCTGGGTAGTTTCTTTTACAAGGACCAGCATTCAGGGCTGAGGAAAGGAACAGGGAAAGAAAGTGCTGCTTCACTCTGGAATTTTGCCCACGAAGAACAGAAACAAGCAATGTCCCTGAATGAATATAAACATGAGGTGTGAGACAACAAGCTTGAGGATAGCACTATTCCCCAGTCACCTGAACAGAAAGAAGAAGAGAAGGAAAAAGAAGTCTAATTTTCTTGTGCAGTAATTTGACCCTTTTTCAAAGAAAAAATTTTATGTGTCCATATTAAAGAGACCCCATATGTCCCATTTGTAAACCATCCAACATGGCAGTATCTGGGACTATGGAACAAAAATGATTTTCATGTTTACCTGGGCTATGGTTCAACAAGTCACAAAATTTGGCTTTGGGGCTCTTTCTATCAGATCCAGAACTCTGTGGCCACTTGCCACACAGCACTGATCCAGTATAAACCTATTCTGCTGGTTCAGATTTGTTCAAAACAGTTTGAAGGATTAACCAGTGGGCTGTGTGCTGAACCACAGAGCATCTGCCCTCACACAGCCAGTAAAAATCTACCATAAAAGCACAAAATACCAGCTAATGCAGTTCTACTTAGTCTGGTTCACATGTGTTCTGGATCACATATGTGTGTGAATGCACTAGATTTGTCCCCACACTGAAATCAGGGATTACGGCACTGCAATAGTGGCCAGGCTTCTCACTATCACAGTAGTTATCTCTGAAAAGCTTTGTTTCTGCACCACCACCACCAAGTTGTTTTCTTTATTCCCTCCCCAATAAATGCCCTATGCAGATAAAGTGTATCAGAAGTGGGGCAGGGAGTCCCTAATGGAATTTAACCAAGCACTCCCAAAAGACATATAGCAAGGCAAATGACAGCCCTAATATTTCTGAGATTTGTGACTTTATAGATTTATTTTCAACTTTTAAGAGCATCTATCACTTGATGCTGCTAAATGAACTGTAAATATTTGAAATAATTCATATACCTCTTTATCCTGGTCCATATTAAAAAAAAAAAAAAAGTCACATTATTTACCAGATATCCACCCTCCTGTTATCTCTGGGTGGAATCAAGAGCTACAATTTCCTTCCACATCAGAACTATGTAATGCTTTCCAAAACTCACCCTGAAAATGAGTTGTGCGATGAAGTAGGCTATACCTACTACCATGCCGCCAAGCAAACTTGACAGCAGGCCCACAAAAGTAATTGCTCCATTAGTACCCACTGGAACCTTTTCCCAGGTTGTTATCAACCTTGGCTTGCTTTTACTCATAACACTACCAATCTCTGAAGCCCATGTATCACCAGCAGAGCATGCCAAAGCTCCCAAAAGGGATAAGCACATCCATGATGCTGTGTATTGCTTTGAAAAGTCTATAGGAATTTCACCCCGTCCATTTTCTATCATATATAAGAGAGCCAGCTCAGTAGGAACACCACCATTACACAATACTTGCAACCAGTTCCTCTGTCCACCTTCTTTGTATTCTGAATCTATTTGCTTCTTTATATCTTTTTTCCATTTAGTAAGTTTTGAAGAAGTAATAAAAAATACAAACAAAGAGGTGAAGAAACTGTAATTTGCAACTGTAAGGATAAATCCAACCAACAATCCTCCCAATGCACCACTGTGATCAAGACTCTTCTTAAAACCCTGTGTAGCAATTGTTAGTGGAACCAAGATTGAAAAAAGCCAGCGCCATGGAGAAATAGGTCTTAAAGTACCGTAGTACGTACTTGCGGTCATGGACACGATCCAGAACACCAGAGAAATGCAAATGAGCGCGTTCGGGATGATAATATTCGCCATCATCTTGAGGTACTCTTTGAAGAAATCCTCCTCGCAATAGGACATAGGAATCCAAAAAGAGAACACCTCGGGGAGCCACTGGGAGGCACCGACCCGTTCATGGGGAGGCGGACGTTAGGGGTCGAGCTGTGAGGCGCTGTGCGACTGGTAGGCCCCGGCCCTTCCTCCTTCCCTCCCATCACCTATCTCTGCCACAGACCTGCTCCCGCGGCCCTCCGGCGCCGCCACCATTCTGCCCCGCCACCAAGGGTCTGTCACGAGGGTGACGGAACACTGGAACAGGCTGCCCAGGGAGGTTGTGGAGTCTCCTTCCCTGGAGACATTCAAAACTTGCCTGGACACATTCCTGTGTAACATTATCTAGGTGTTCCTGCTCTGGCAGGGGGATTGGACTAGATGATCTTTCGAGGTCCCTTCCAATCTCTAGCATACTGTGAAACTGTGAAACTGTGAAAACTCACTTAAAACATTGAACATCTTCTACTGATGTCACTGAGCCTATAGTCATTAGCAGCTAGTGAACACAGCAGAGTACCCAACACCCTCCACATACAGATCTCAAATGGATGCACTGCCAGCAAATATGACCTCAAACAACTGTGCCTGTAAGGGCACAGTACAAGAAGTAATTAATTGAGATGCATGATATTTGTTTGTGTCTATGAACTTCTTTTCTTATTTCAAAAACTCCTCAGCTCAAAACTCCTTGGAAACTCAGACAGAGCATTCAGCTGTTTTTGTAACAGTACTCCAGACTTCACAGAAACTACTGACTCATTTATACCAGCAAAATGTTTTTAAATATTTCACTAGGGCTTAAGCAGGAAAAGTATGTTGTAGTTCTGGTGATTCAACCTAGGATTTCATAGCTACACATCATTAACGCCATAAAATGATCTGTTTCATTTATTTCTTCATTTATATTTCTCTTATGTCTCCTTTGTTAGGTCTCCAGAGATTTTTCTTACAATTCCCTTTTATTCTTAAGCTGGAAAAAGATGATTTTGCAATTTTTAATTATTCATCTGAATGCATGTTTTAGTACTTTGAAAGGTGAAAAAGTTTAAATGAGTTGGTTTTTTTTTCTTATGCTTATCTTAGTCTATTTTCTAAATTCTTTTTCACAGATATTTAAAATACAAATAAAAATGCCTGTGCTAAAAACACAGACGGCTGCTGTGGAGTAAAACTAAGCAATTCTGAAGCAGCATAGAAACATTGTAAGTAATGCATAAAATGGGTTGGAAACTTTATGGTTTTAACATGTTAAAAATATATTTCAGTACTTGAATCTTAATATTTTACTGGATATCCTTTATTCTTACTACTCCTATTGATTTACAAGATAACATGGTCATTCACAGAGTAAGTAATCCAGAAGAGTTTATGGCAGCTGTCAAACAGGGAGTAATATACCCGTGACACTGTTTCTACAATAACAAGAGTCATCATTTATTAATTCAGGAAAAGCATTGGTCTCATGTGGCACTACTATTTTGGGCAAGCAGATGCTGTTTTGGGATGTAAAGTGTGGTGCTCTGTGCCTTTTGCCCTACTGACTTGATTTGCTTGAGTCTCACTGGAGCACAGTATGTATGTGTACAGCAGAAATTGCAAGTTACATTAGCAGGTAAACCGAGGTTCCTCATATGTTTTATTCAGAAAAAAAAAAAAACAAAACAACATTTTTGGTACAAAGAGCCCTTATGTAAAAGCAATGCCTTAGGTTCTTATTCTTTTTCAAGAGAATAAGTTTTCCACGTAATTTTGCCTACGTAGGTCAGGAAGGTTCCTATTTCCTCATCTGCTTTTATGTTCTGTTACAGTTTTCCCTTTACCATTTCCTTTGTGTTGTTCTCCAAGGAAATCCTTGGAAACAAGTGATTCCAAGTGATTTTGCAAAGCAAATTTTTGAATTTGCAAAGCAAATTTTTTGACTACTGTAATGTTAGCTGCTATTGTTTCTTCTCTGAATATATGTCCATTTGAGCATTGCTCTTAAGGCAAGAAGCACCTAACTGTGTGGAAGTTGCACAAGGATAGTCATATAATAAAATCATCCATTGTGGTCAAATCTGCTCATGAGTAATTTCCAAAAGCTTGAGCTATAACTACTTTACAGTTTGGGAACCAGGCACTTTCTTTGAAGACTATTGGAGCATGTCTGTTTGCCTTGCTCATTTCAGTTAAATAAAGATCCACTTAATAATCTCTGATTATTGTTTCATGATGGGATGGCTTTGGATACAAGATCAGTGTAAGCCTCTTTTTGTACCTCCAGATGCTTCTTTCTTATTTTCATGTCACATTCTTCCAGTTGATCCAACCAGTGCAATCATTTGCATGTACATGGTGCAATTTGGATTACTTAAATAACCCACGCTAAAAATAATTTCAGACTGAATAAAGAAATGATTTGAACTTTTTTTGTTACTGAAGCCAGATTATTATGAAAATATGTCTTCTGTGACCAAGAGCTTGACCTTTATGCTTTCCATAGAGGCCACATGAAGTCCAGCACGTTTATGAATTACTTTTTTTCTGGTTAGAGAAATACATTAGTAACTCACTTTTTTGAGATTCTGAATTTTAATTTCATCAGAAACTTGAAAAGAAAATCAACCTTGTGGAGAAATAATTTGTTTCACACTGATGTCACTGACCACATCAGACTCAGTAGAATCATGAAAAATAAGCATGTATCCACAGAATCATAATCATAGAACCTTAGAATGGTTTGGATTGGAAGGGATCTTAAGGATCATTCAGTTCCATGGGCAGGGACACCTTCCACTAGACCAGGTTGCTCAAAGCCCCATCCAGCCTGGCCTTGAACACTGCCAGGGATGGGGCAGCCACAGCTTTTCTGGGCACCCTGTGCCAGCACCTCAGCACCCTCACAGAGAAGAATTTCTTTCTAATATCTAGTCTAAATCTATCCTTTTTCAGTTTAAAGCCATTCCCCCTTGTCCTGTCACTACATGCCCCTATAAAAATTCCCTCTCCAGCTTTCTTGTAGGACCCTTTAGGTACTGGAACGCTGCTATAATGCCTCCCTGGAGCCTTCTCTTCTCCAGGCTGAACAATTCCAGCTCATTCAGACTGTCTTCATAGGAGTCCTCTGATGTTCTTCATGGCCCTTCTCTGGACTTGCTCCAACAGGTCCACATCCTTCTTATGCTGGGGACTCCAGAACTACATGCATGGTCCACCTTTCCTCAAAGGGTTGCTCATTGTCTACAAGCACTCCATAAATCATGATCAGAAAAGACCCATTAATGAATAGATCGCAAAACAAATACACAAGGTAGGCTGTCTTTGTATGCCAGAGTGAACCTGCCCTTTGAGGTACAGAGCGTGCTGAAGCTTAAATCACTGCATATAGTACTGTGAAGCTGGTAAGCAGCATTTTGCTGAGTATGGCTGAGACTACACAGGCCACAAAGGGAGACCATAGACTTGTTAACCAGCACCTAGGACATTCGAAGCATCATCAGGGATGGTATGCTGTTATTCTCTCTGCTGAAAATACTAAAGATGAAAAATCAGAGCTAGAAATCTGTCTGCAGTTCTATGCTGGCTGACAAACGGAGAGCAATGGGTCCTGATCACTGTGTTCTTTGGGTCTGCAATCTGCTGCTTGGATTCTGCCTTATGACTGATTTTGTACATGTCACAAGCAGCACCTGCTGCACTGTTTAGCAATTTGGAGAAAGCCAGGCAAACTGAATACACATATTTTCTTCATGACTTCATATTAACTAAAAGGCTGTGACACACAAAACTTCATGTTGTTACAAGTGCTGCTTCTGAGTAATGACCTCTCCCTCTCTCAAGGGGCAATAAAAGTTTGAGCTGGAAACCTGGGATCCAAATATCTCCTAATCTGATTGATTTTTGGGGTTTTTTTTTCAGAGGCCCATGCAGAAAATTATGTCTGTTTGCAATATATCAGAATTGCTACATTAATGCATGGAGATTTTTTTTTTCATATCAGTAACTCTGTGTTGCTCAACACTTAGGGTAGGATCTAGAAATAGTGGCTGGAAATACTCATCATAACAGTAAACATTTTGACAATCCCTAAGCGCCTTGCAGATAATAACTAGGTCTAATTTTTATTTTCTTATACTAACAAAAATTGATAGTAGCAGGAAATAGATAAGCATATAAAAATGCCTTTGTTATATAGACAAGAAAGAACATTATAGTTTCATCATCTGGTCTTTCTAAGACAGGACTAATCCTGTTTACTCTCACAAACATGTGCCTTATCATCATCTTTTCAGTCAGATTAGCAAAATTGTGATGCCCGTATTGTAGTGCCACAAAAAAAGTTCTAGGGCAAAATGCCAGATGCAGTAGTAAAGCCTAAGGAAAAAATTATCCTCTTGGATCCATAAAGCCTATGTGGACTTTTGTTTTTCTTCCTTTTTCTTATACACACATAAAAACTAGTTTGCAGCAGCAGAGGTTAAATATATTATCAGAAGGCTAAGCTGCTACAGTATCATGGATAAAAATAAAAAAGATTTTGTTTCACTTCTCAAAGCTTTTATTCCACTTCTCTCCCTTGCTGGCCCAAGGGCAAGGCTACTCCTGCTTATCTCTGCAGCTGTGTACATACAGTTTTATATACATGCTCTCATATCTTGAAGTTATGGAGTTTCTTGTATTGGTATTGTACATACTAGTAATGGTATGATGGAGGAGAAAGACAGATGATTAACCATCAAGTCACTACAAGTTCAGTGTGATAACTAGATGTAAAAGCATGTAATAAATCTACAAAGTCATGAATCGGAAAAAAAAACATGGACTTGCCTTTTTGACAAAGAGTAAATGTATTAGGTAATTAATTTCTAGCTATGAGCCCTGTTGTCTTTAAATGAGACTCATCACAGTAAACAACTTTCTAAAACAAACCATATTACCAAGAAAATAGGTTGGATAATCCAGCTAGCCTTTTATATAAGTTTGTATGGCTACGGAAAAGCAACCCTATAATATGGGGCCAAACTTTCATTTAACAAACAGTGGACACCTATGAAAGTTTAAGAAAAGGGCATTTATTTAACAGTGCTCTGATACATCACCATAGACTGTATCTTCATGCTTAATAATAAAAATATCTTTGCATATCTAATCATTTGAACTCATATGTCATTTGGAGTTCCTCTGCACCTTGCCTGCTAACATTAAACAACCTAATTTGTGGAAAAGTA